CAGGCCCCTGGAAATGCATCTAAGTCTCAATCAGGGAAGAGAAAGATCCTGCCCCATTGGCCCTTCCTCCAGGTGGAGGTGGGGAAGCAGCAGGGAAAAGTAACCATGGCTTGAGACCTTTGATATAATCTAGGTGTTTAGCCTCATTCAGGTTTGGGGAAGGTGTCACCTCTGTCTTCTTCTGCTGAAGATTGCACTGCAGGATGCTGTAGTTAGTAAGCCTCTCCCTCTGTTTTTCAGACTCAACTGTCCCCATGGAGTAGGGGGAGGAGGAAGGTGAGGCTTTAGGGACATGATCACTGTATTCAAGTATCTAAAGGGCTATTATGAATAAGATATAATTGGATTTTTTTGGTAATGTTAGAAGGCACAAGAGCTAATGGGTATGTTACAAGGAGGTAATTTCACTTCAATGTAAGAAAAAGCTTTCTAATATTCAGAGCTGTTAACAAAATAGAACAGGCTATTTTAAGAAATAGTGAATTTCTAAGCAATGGAAGTATTAAAAAGCAAAGGCTATCCCCAGTAGATAAGTGGTCAAAGAATACAAACAAAAAGTTTTCAAAAGGACTGGAAGTATACACGACCACATGAAAACATGCTCCGCAAATCGCCAATAGTAAAGGAAATGTAAATTAAAACGGTTCTGGAATTTCTTTCTATACTATGCAAATTGGCCAAGATGAGAACAAACTGGCAATTGTCAATGTTGGACAGGGGCTGTGGGAAAACAGGCATATTGATGCACTATTGGTAGAGCTGTGAGGTGGCCCGAACTCTCTAGATGCCAATTTGGAATTATGTAAGAAAAGTGACTAAACTGTTCAGACATTTTGACCCAATGATCCCATCAAGGGAGTCAAAGACAGGAACAAAGGTCCAATGGTATATTACAATATTCTTCACAACACTCTATGATAGCAAAGAACTGGAAAAAAGTGGGTATCCATTAATTAGATAATAATGGAAGAAACTATGTTACATGGATGTAAAAGAATATTAGTGTTCAGTAAGAAATGTGAGGAATTAAGAGGAACATCAGAAGATTTGTATGAACTGATATAAAGCAAAATAAACAGAAGAGGGGAACAATAAATATAATAACCACAATAATGTAAAAACATGAGTAGAGTGAAATTAAACTCTAGTAATGGAAAAACCAGTAAAGGTCCCAGAGAACAGATAATAAAGCATGCTTTTTCCCTCCTGATAGAGGGGTGGGAGATTATTAGGACAGAATACTATATGCATTGTTAGAAAAAGTCACTGTTATTGGATGTTTTTATTAAATTGCTTTTCTTTGTCACAGGGAAGGATTCAGCTAGGGTGAGGCTTGAAATAACTGTGTTGTAAAGACAGAAAGAATAAATAAAACATTTTTAAAAATAAAGAGAAGGCTGGGTAATCACCGGCTAGAACTGTTGCAGAGGGGATTGGTACATTGCTTGTTGTAGAGGAAATTAAGACAGCCTGGGTTTTCTTTGGTGGGGTCCGAATGATCTATAGGTTTTCTTCTAACTCTGAAATTCTATCATTCTTTGATATCAAAGGGACAGAGATCCATAGGGGGTTTCTCTCCCTCTCTGAACTAGGGACTCCAACATATCTGTTTTTTACCTGGCTGGGTGTTTATTTTCAGGCTCCCATCCCCAGTGAAATGAGTTGGTCATTATGTGCTGGTTTGAATCCCCTAATTCCATTAAATTCAATTCAACAAACATTAATTAAGCATCTACTGTGTGTCAGACACTGTGCTATTGATGAAGAGAGAGAGACAAAAATTAAACAGCTCATGCCCTTTTACTTGGGGTGGGGAGACAGGTGTGGGACAAAAATAGAAAAGTAAATATAAAAAATATAAGCAAATTAGTTCCTCTGTCCTTATTGTGCAGCTACATTGAGGGATAGGAGAGAAAAATAAGACCTCTCAAGGAATATTTCTTCTACAATAGGGCCTCAAAAGGCAGGAGGAAAACTTGAGAAGTCAGGAATAGAGGTGGGGGAAAGATGGTGTTTGTTAGAGAAGATATAGGTAAAGCAACTAGATTTTCCAAACCCGAGATTGGGGTATGTGCCCTGACCTGCCTCATATTTAAAAAGTTTCTTTAAATCGGGACTGTCCAGGAAAAATCAGGTTGCACTTTATTAGGGGAAGGTATAGTCACTAAAATGACTAGACATTGTCTGAACAAATGAATCAATAAACATTTATTAAGTGTTTAATATGTGCCAGTCACTGTGCTAAGTATTGGGGATATAAAAAGAGGCAACCTGCCCCTCCCCAAATCCTTGGGGATTAAGGGATTTAGGAATTAGGAATGAGGTCAATTCCTCTTGATAAAGTAGGAAAAGACTGGCTCTGGCATCAAGGGACCTGGATTCAAATTCTGCCTCTTATGGATCCCATCCGTGAGACCTTAAGCAAACTGTTTACTTTCTCTGGGCCTCAGTTTCCTTATTTGTAAAATAAAGGGTTTGGACTAGATGGCCTCAGAGATCCCTTCAAATTCTAAATCTGTGATCGTGTTTCCTCTTCTAAGGACTCAGAGAAGTTGATGTTTTTTCTCAATTTCCTAGAGAGACCTACTGCTTCTCTGAAAGCATTCTTTGAAATATATTATTAATAATTATTATACTTATATATTATATAACAACATAATATAACATTTTATGTTTATATAATCTGTATATAATTTATTATATTATAATTAATGACTATTAATTATATATTATTATTACTATTATAGGCAAGCTAGGTGGTACAGTAGGCGGAGCCTTGGGTCTGGAGTCAGGAAGAATGAGAGTTCAAATCTTCCCTTGTACACTTCTTAGCTGTGTGACCTTGGGCAAATCATTTAACCTCTGCTTCAGTTTCCTCATCCATAAAATAAGGGTAATAATAGCACCTGCCTTCCAGGGTTGTTGCAAGGATCAAATGAGATAATATTTGTAAGGTGCTTAGCAGTGTGTCTGACACATAGTAAGCACAATGATATATATGTTAGCTATCATTATTATTTCTTGTTTTTATATCATCTGCATTTCTAGATGTCTTCCTGCCCTGTGAACCATCTCTTGTAACAAAGATTACAAGCAAAAAAGTAATAATATATGTGTAAATCCATACCCTAGTCCCTCCCTTACATCAGCAAAGTGTGGAGGGAGCTTCATTTCCTCTCCTCTTCAGAGACAAACTTCAGAGTCATTATAATTGCTCAGCATTCAAGTTTTGTCATTGTTGTTTTTCATTTGCATTGTTATAGTCATTGTGTATATTGCTTTTCTGGTTCTGCTTACTAGGATGAAGGAATGAATGAATGAAAAAGCATTAAGTGTTGGCTATGTGCCACTCCATTCTGACTCAGTTTTCCCATGCTTGTCTGACTTACTCATATCTGTTATTTCTTATGGCAAAATATATTACATTATATCCTTATATCACAATCTATTTAACCATTTTCCAATCAATAGGCATTTACTTTGTTTCCAATTCTATGCTACCCTTTTCATCCAAATGTTACTATGACTCTTCTGGAGACGATTAGGGCCTCCCTGAAATAATCTGACTTTGGAAGGCTCAGCTCTGCACTGGTCAAATCCTTGATAGTTTAGAAGAGAACCTGTGATAGAGGTGGGGGAATCCCTGTATCCATCCACTAACAACCCTGTATTGAGGCCTCCAGAGTGTCTAGGCCTGTGCTTGGACCTTTGGAATAGAGAAGAAAAGAAATGATGTTGACTTCATCAAGAATCCAGGGGACTAGGTGGCACAGTAGAAATCTAGATGGCGCAATGGATAAGAGCACCAGCCTTGGATTCAGAAGGACCTGAGTTCAAATCCGGCCTCAGACACATAACACTTATCAGCTGTGTGACCCTGGGCAAGTCACTTAACCCCATTGCCTAGCACTCCCCCCCAAAAAAAAGAATCCAAGGGAACAATCTTCCCCAAGCAGGTTGGAGGAGATGACTTTTAAGGTCCTTTCCAGCCTTAAAATCTTGTGAACCTAGATTAGGGACAATAACACATGTGTCATCCAATCAAACAGCAAATGTTTATTCCACACCTTTTGAGTATAAGTTCCTGGACCACACAGATACAGGAGAAGATTCAGTCTCTGCTCTTAGGGAGCTTACAGTCTAGCAGCAGACATGATATATACAGACGTGATAATAACAAGCAATACATAATCAACACCCAATGCATGGTACAGAAAGATCTGAGTCTGAGGAGTTGGGTCCAGAAGGATGGGGATGATTTGGCCATGGGAGAAACATTTTGAGAAGGGGAGACAGTATGAGGGAAGTCCCAGAAGTAGGAAGGAGCCTACCAGTGTTGGACTTGGAGTCAGGAAGACTTAAATTTGAACTGTGCCTCAGACATTTATTAGCTCTGTGGTCCTGGGCAGGTCACTTAACCTCTCTGTTTTCTTTTTTGTGAAATGGGGATGATATAGCACCTTCTCAGGATTGTTGTTGGGAGGACCAATGTGATAACATATATAAAATGATTTGAAAACCTCAAAGTGCTGTATAAATGTTAGCTATCACCATTATCATCAAGGAGATAGTGAAAGAACCAGTATGAATGGAGCACAAGTTTCATAGAGGGAAGAGCAGGAGATAGATTGAAAGCATGGCATGGGGCCAGACAATGGAAGACCTTGGGTAGTTTGGACTTTGCCCTACAAGTGACTGGAAGCCAATGATGATTCTTGAGTGGGGAGAAAAATGATGAAAATAGAATTTGGGGAAGATGACCTTGGCAGCATATATGATGAGTCAGGGAAAGACTACAGACAAGTAGAATGATTGGGAGGCTACTGCAATGACCTGAGTGTGAGGTAATAAGGACATGGACCACCACCCAAGAAAGACAATACAATGAGCAGTGTCCAAGGATGCGGGGTACAGCTGGGTCCTGGGCAGACACAGTTCTATTTTGGAGGAGGAAAGGGGAATGCATGAATACTACTGTCGCAGGGTCAGCCCTCTCCAGGCTCAGCCTACAACCTGAGGGGATCTGACCCTCAAATGACCAGCATCCCTATGCTAAATCCCCAAGACTGATCCCACTGACAACCCTGTACACTTAACCTTTAGCTCCTGAAGCTCTGGGTCCTAGCAGACAGAGACCTAGAGCACACTGGAGTTGTTCAATGGTGAAGGTTCCTGTGGGCAAACAAGGGGAAGAATGGGATGAGGGGTCCCAGATCAGGATTCCTATGATCCCCATGAGAGTGATAGTGTGGCTAACAACATTGCCTTCCCCTGGGACCTGGGGAACATTCCTGAGTTTAGGAGGGACTGACTCAAAAATGCACATGCCAAGGGACTCCTGGGAGGCATACCAAACCCTGAGCTGATTTATTTACTTTTGCATCTAGCTTTGTGAACATTGCAGAAGTGTTTGATGTTTGGCCAGAAGCCAAGAGATATAGACAGGAAGTGCTCCCTGAGAGGCCTATAAAGTTTTTCATGGTGTTTGGTTACCCTCTGGCTCTATTAGATGGCATTCAGAGGCCCATACCATACTGGTTTGGGCTGAGCAAAGCTATTTGGGCTTCCCTCCCCCCTCACTACACTCAGACTCGTGGCTTCTCAGTCAAACCTCACTGAACTTCAAGGCCCATACATTTCCCTTTTCCTCTGTTCTCCATCCAGATCTCAAGACTGGGGCTTCACTGAGTCAGAGATTCAAAGTGTGAGGGAGAGAACAGCCCACTCTGGGGAAGTTGAACATGTGGAGAGTGCTTTGTGTGGACTTGGCCAGGTTAGAGGTAGGGGAGAAGGGAAGAATCATAGAATTCATAGAGAATATTAGACCCCTAAAGATCCTAAGAAACTCTCTCATTTAATAGATGATGAAACTGAGTTCCAGAGAAGGAAAGTGACTTGCCCAAGGTCACACAGCTAATTAGTGGCCGACTTAGGTCTCTCTGACATTGCCTTAAGTAATGATAAGTAGAAGCAGGAAATGGGCCTAGAGACTTCAAGGCAGGTTAAGTCCTATTCCAGGCTCTGGAATTCTCAGATAGTGGCCTAAACTGAAGATGTTTCCAAGGATTATAATACAATGGTTGTTGGTGGTGACGGTGGTAGTAGTGGGACACCTTGTTGTCAAAGGAGACATGATCTTATAAGAACTTCCCACTGCCCAAATGCTTCTAGACCAGGAAAAGAAAGGAAGACCAGTTTAATAGAGATAGTATTGGACTAGGAGTTGACAGCCGTGGGTTTTAATCCTACGCTTTCCACCAGCAAGCTGTGTTAACTTTGGGCAAGTCACTTCCCTTCTCAAGGCCCCATCTGTAAAATAAGTGAGTTGGACTAGATGGTTCTTACAGCTCCACGAGTCTGTGATCCTTCTTTAAAAGTCTAATTAGGAAAAATATCTCCTACATCCCTGAGGGCCTCTCCCATGATCCTCTGGCTTCCCAGAAGAACACCATCAGGCAAAGTAGGCATAGAAGAATATGTTGACACACAAAAGCAGAATGGCATTGAAGTTGCAGACTCGGGTCCAGAAGGAAGCTTGCTTCTTTCCTGCAGATAGGCAGAATGGGATACATAGTTCTGAGTGAGCTGGGATGTATGAGGAACTTGATGGGTCAGGAGTGGAGTGAGAATGTGGAACTAGGAAAACAACAGTACAACACTAGGCCCTTAGGATTTGGGATGGGGTAGGGACAGCAACTGGCTCTTTCTAGGGTTCCACAGGACATCTTCCAGTCTCTGTCCCCAATGTCTTTCTGCCACGCCAACTATCATCTAAGATGGTTTAACCCTGAGGTCTCTGGTAAGGGAGGGGATAGACCCAAAGGGAGAATGGGGCTAGACGGTATGGTAAGGACAACATTGTGATGAGTCTGGCTCTGCCTAGAGTGGTCTAGAGGCCCCCAGGGACCACTTACCAACTTTGTCTCCCATATCAAAAGTCTCAGGCAGAGTTTCTAAAAGATTGTTCTTGGAAAGGGTCCACCACGTTAAATTCTTGATCTGTTAGAAACCAAAGAGAGATTTTGAACAGGCGGTGGAAAATAAGAAATGAAAGTTGTGGGGGGGGGATGAAGAAATAGAGCTAAAGGTATGAGATGTAGGAGACTGGAGAATCCCCAAGGGGTAATAAGGAAGTTGGCTGGCCCAGGCTAGGGGAGAGAGTCACCACTTTTGGGGGGATAAAGCAGAGAAATAGGGATCAGGAGGGGGCTGAGCCCTGCTCATCGGCTAGGCTTCCTCAGAACGTGCCCAGCCATAGTGCCAATCCTTTGTGGTGTAATGTGTGTATGTAAGGGATAGGGAAGAGGGGTTCAATTAGAACTTGCCTACCCAGTCCACAGACCATTAGACCTACTCTACCAAGAAATGTCTCCTCACCATATGACCCATAACACCTGAAGTTCTGCCTTGGATTTATTAATTTAAACTATCTTGCCCTCATTTTGCTCCTCTCAGAGGAGAAGAAAATTCCCACTTTTGTATTTCAGTGGGTATGAAGCTATCAGAGACTGACTGGTGGGGCATCTGAGAGGTGGAAAAGGAGGTGGAGAAGACCTCACATAAACTTTGACAGGGCCAAAATTTTTTGCCCTTCCTTATGTCAGTTTTGCTTCACTGGTTCAGGTGATGCCATGCTGCTCCAGTCCAGATGAGAGGACCCCTAGGAATGTCACCCCTGGGAACCCTTTGTTGTTGTCATTGTTGTTCAGTTGACTAGTTGTGTCCAACTCTTCACGACCCCATTTGGGGTTTTCTTTTTTTTTTTTCCTCCAAGCCCTTTAATATTTTACTTTTTAACAGCTTGAGGCACAAGGAATATTAAAAAAATTCATCTTTTACAAGATTGAAAGTTCTGTATAGTGCTTGCTTATGTAATAAACCAACATTCTTGAAATTTCTGTAACATTTTATATTCTGAGCAACACCCTTGTCCACAGGTTGAATTAATAATGTAACAAAAGCAGGCATGATGACAGTAAAAATATTATACTCCATTTAGGCAATTACTAAAATCATCTGATATAATAACTTTGTTACCTTCAAGTATACATATGTGTCCAAAATATTCCTGATGCTTTGCACCAAGTATAAAATTATGAAACAGATCAAAAACATTTGTCCATGCAAAGAAACCTGTCCACCTCTGAAAGCTCATGAATTTTCATTTCCAAAGGTTTTATCAAGTGTGTACACAATTTGTTCTTTTCTTAAAGGGAGTTGGTGGGGAATAGGAAAGGGGCACATTTAATTCACTTGAGGGTAACAGGCTTTGACATTACCAAAATGAACTGGGTTTCATAAAAAATAAAATCCTTTAGGAAGAGAACATGGACCAGTCCTAGACTAGACATCTAAAAAAAATTCAGAACACTATTCTCTACCTTCAAGATCAATTATTTTTCGAAGATATTTAGTTTTCTGATGCCACGTGTAACTAGCATTAAATTTGTACTTGCCCCTCAAAATACAATTATAATTTGGTAAAAAAAATCATTTTTCATTCTTTTGATGAACAATAAACAAGAAATAAGGAAACTATTCCCCTATCAGTTCACTAAAATATTTCTCACAAGGGCCTAATTTAACATATTCCTTTTAGGATCAGAAATAGCCAAGTGCAAATGACTATTTTTACTGGACGGGCCTTGATGTCACAAAGATAATCTTTTGCTTTCCTCCATCCAAGTTCATCTCATTCTTGCCTTCTTTCTTTCACTTGCAGGTGTTTGGATGGTTTGTAACATAGGGTTGGTTTTTTAGTCCAGATCCCATTTAGGGTTTTCTTGGCAAAGATACTGGATCGGTTTGCCATTTCCTTCTCCAGCTCATTTGACAGATGAGGAAACTGAGGCAAACAGGGTTCAGTGACTTGCCCAGGGTCACACAGCTACTAAGTGTCTGAGGCTGGATTTAAATTCAAGTCCTCCTGACTCCAGGCCCAGCACTCTATCTACTGCACCATCTAGCTACCCTTACAACCCATAGCACACAGAATAAACTGAGCCTGAGCTGCTTCTGCCTGATGTGCCACCACCAGGTCGCAGGACAAAGACTCTATGTAGACAAGTATGACTGTCTTGACCAGAGAAGATGAATTATGCTTTCCCCACCTCAGTAGACTGGAGCAGGTGTGATGAGGTGTTTTCTATGTTACTGGAGCATTAGCAGTGCTATGCAAACAACTTGTGTTCCAGCACCAGTTTTGTTACTAACTCCTCCTATGACTGCTTCTCCTCTCTAAGACTCAAGTTCATCCATCTATAAAATGAAGTTGTTGGACTAGCTCTGCCACTTGATCTGGCTACTTGGAGCAAGTTACTCTGGGACTCAGTTTCCTCATCTGTAAAACAAAAGAGTTAGATGACCTCTAAGGTCCCTAGAGGTCTGAATCTAGGATCTATGACCCAAAGACTATGTAATTATCAAGCCTAGGGCAGATGGATGTCTTTCCTATCAAGACCAACCCCATTGATCAATATCCTGCTCAACCTAGCTGAGTCATGGTTACCATGGAAGCAGCAAAGGGTATTCCTCATTGTGTGGGGTGGAAATAGATGATTTCCTGATGTCCTGTCCAACTCTCTGAGAGTCTATGTTCTATTTTTCAGTGATTCCATAAAATGCTTAAAGTTCTCTAAGCTCTATAATTATGTGGATTAGTTAATTAAAGAGAATGAAGTATGGATAATTGGCTCCCTTGCCCTGAAGCAGGCACCTCCTCATGCTGGCAGGCCGGTCCTCTCTCCTTGGTCAAACAATGGGGGTCTGTGATGGTGGAGTTGGAAAGGACTGAGCAAAGCACTGGAGGCTTAGGCCATAGTGCTTTCTTCTAGGTGACAGGACTGACCAGGAGAGCTTAAGACAGGAACACGTGACAAAGCATATTATGTATATAATATATATTATATAAATAATATCATATTATAGTGCAAAGAATTCTGGGCTGGAAATTGGGACATTTGAGTCTAGCCACTAGCTAGTTGTGTGACCTTGGGAAAGTCTCTTTCCCTTTCCTGAATCTCAGTTTCTTCTTCTATAAAAATAATACTTAGAGAGATGATCTCTAAGGTTTCTCTCAGGTGTAACATTCCATGGTTCTATGAATACAAGGCAGATTATATTTGTCCTTAGTGGGGCAAAGAGAGAAAAAGCTGATCAAAGGGATTCCAGGTAGGGAATCTAGAAGAGCTATTAAATTTAGGATTTAGATGGCTGTAAAGAATCCAGTTTTTACATGCCAAAACTTGAACATGGAGCACAGCTAAATAAAATAAAATACTAAGTTCCAAGGATGGAGGCTAAAAGTCAGCCAGAGGATTCACCAAGGTGGGGACAGTAGAGAGGACTGTGAGAGTGTAAGGAAGAAAAGGAAAAGACTGAAATAATTTTTAAAGAAGCATATGCTTGGGGGCAGCTAGGTGGTGCAATGGATAGAGTGCCGGCCCTGGAGTCAGGAGGACCTGAGTTCAAGTCCGGCCTCGAACACTTGACACTTACTAGCTGTGTGCTGTGGGCAAGTCACTTAACCCATTGCCTAGCTAACAAAAACAAAAAACTTAAAGAAGCATACGCTAAACTAGGGGTGAGGAACCTGTGGCCTCGAGGCCACATGAGGCCTTGTAGGTCCTCAAGTGTAGCCCTTTGACTGAATCCAAGCTGAGTTTAATGACTAAGCTGAACACGAGTCATTTATTTATTTATTAGGTTGGTTTTTTTTTTTTAAGGCAACCGGGGTTAAGGGACTTGCCCAGAGTCACATAGCTAGTAAGTGTCTTAGGCCAGATTTGAACTTAGGTTTTCCTGATTCCAACGCTGGTGCTCTAACCACTGCACAACCTAGCTGGCCCTGGTCATTTATTTTTGGTGTCAGAGAATATGGGTTCATATCCTGGCTCTGCTACCTCTGACCTGGGCAAATCTCTTTGGGTTTCAGGTTCCTCCACTGTAAGATAATTTGGATAAGATGACCTTAGAGTTTCCTTTTCCCCCCCCTCTATCAGGCTGTTTAATCTGTAAATAAATTACATCTGGAAGTTCCTTACATTCGATTTTTTTTTTACTCCAAATGATGATAAGCTTATCACTCATTCTGGAGTAATTTGAATACAAAGTGAATATGGGTCCCGAATAACTATATGGATGTGATGATGGCAGAGGTACCAACAACGAATATGAGAAATCTGTTTTTATTACATACCTCTCACTAGGAATAGGAGCAACAAAAATGCAGTAGAACTAAGAAGGGGAACCACGCAGAGACAGACTGGGAGGAGGAAGGGGCCATTCTTAAGGGACTGACGTGACAGATGAAGCCAGTGCTGGAGGGGATGTGTATCTAAGCACAATTTCTGTCCTAAGAGGAATGAATCCAGACTCTGTAACCTTGCTGTGCACCTGTAAATGCTAACCTGTGGTTAGTGCATATCTCTAGTTGTTCTTCCACATGTAATACATTAGCCTTTGTGTCAGTCAGAACTGGTCTCCAGATATTGCTGCTAGGGAGGCTGGTGGAAGAGGGAAAAGTGGAATATTTTATGGTGACCAGAGCTGCTGGAAGAAGCTCTTCAATTCAGCAGCAGCAGATGGGACCATACATTTGGATGGGAGAAAGGAAGGAGATGCTCATGGCTGGATTTTTGTCATGGGTCCTACAGCAGGAGACAGTTGTGGATTTAGTAACCAGAAGGAATAACCCTTAGAAAATCTTGGGGAATCATGCTAAGAATTAGCCCATTCTGGGACAAATGGTATTGAGAATTTTTGGACGCCACTTCCTAGTCTTTATCTTCCCGCACCTCCCTGCTCCGCATTGCCTCTCTGTAACAGGGCAAGTTAGGTTTAGATGACTCTCAGGGCAAAATCTTTCCAAGAAATGCCCCCATTTCCAGGTGACCTCCCTGTCTACACTGAGTGTAAGAATGTGGGTCATCAACAGGCTCCTGGGAGTCATCCAGGCCCCTCTGGAGGCTGAAAGTCCAAAGTTTACCTAAGACTGCTTCAATTTAAAACTGGGTACAGAAAATGTTTAGAATCTAGAATGAAAATCCAATTAAGGGCTGTCCCATTCTGATGGCAAGGCCATCTCCCCCTTCTAGGGAAAGGTTCAGATTATCTGAGAGGGGAGGTTAACTCACCTAGATCCCTTTGAGGGTAGGGGACCAGCTCACCTGAGACTCATCAGGCGGTAGAGTCAGCAAACTAATAGCAGCGACTACAGCAGCTGTCATGGAGAAGAGCACCACAGAGAAGTGAAGATAGTGAAGGCTGTGGAGCACAGCTGGCCGGTTGTCTGGGAAGCCACAAGGTGGCTCAGGGTAAACAAATTCCAGGATCATCCGGGTAGCTCCCACTATCAGCCCTGCCATCAGGCCCCAGAAGGCCCCCTGCAGGAAAAGGAGATGCAGCTATAGGTACTCAATCTCAATTTCTCTTTCTTTCAAACATAAACACACACACACACACACACACACACACACACACACACACAGAGCAGTGTAGACCTTAGAGATTAGCTAGTCCAACCCTCTCCTCTCTCTCTATTACTCTCCCTTTTACCCATTCCCCTCCACTACTTCCACACTTTATATATAAAAAACCTTCCCCCCCAAAATAAAACCCCCAAACTGAAGTGCAAGAGATAATTTACCCAGCCAGCAAGTTATGAAGCCAGTACTGTAACCCAGGTCCTCTGAATTCATAATCTGGACCCAGGTTACCTTTCTAGGCTTACTGCACATTACTCTCTTTCACATACTTTATGGGTCAGACAAACTGACCTACTTGCTTTTCCTCATACATGACCTTACATTTCCTATTTTTGTGCTTTTGCACATAAATATAGATATAGATATATATACATATATGAGTAGACATCTATATCTGTCTATCCATCTATCATCTATCTATCTATCCATCCACCCATCTATATATATCTATCTATCCATCCATCTATCTATCTATTCATCTATCTATTGAGAGACTTCTTCAAACAATCTAACCTCCCAATTCCCCAACTTACTCATTTCTTATGAACTATTCTTCTACTTGACCACAGCTACACACAGAGACGGCTTTACCTGTGATCTTGTCATCACCCAAAAGTCATTCCCTCCTATGTTCATGAACTCTGAAGTTCCTTTATCTGATCATAATCTGTTATTATTCCACCTGTCACTCTGCCTTGAAACCCGAGCCCTGTTTTTCCTCCTTACTGTGACCTCTAATCTCTCTACCCCTCAGTCATTTCTCGGCTCATCACTCCTGCGCTATTTTCCTTTCCCCATCTTGACCCCTTGCTGAACCAGTTCAACTCTATACTGTCCTCTTCTCTAAGGCCCCTTGCCCCTTTACTCTTTCAAAGATCTTGCCATGCTAAAACTTCAGCCTTGGATTATTCTCATTATTCACTGCCTTCACTGTCACTCAGGTGCAACTGAACAAAGCTGGAGAAGATCATGAAATCCTGCTGGCCAAATTCATTACAAATTTATGTTACATAATCTCAACTGGGCCTTCATTGAAGCAAGAAAACCCTTTTACACCTCCCTAATCAGTTCACTATCCCATTCACCACAGTGGCTTTTCCAAACCTTTTCATCCCTTCTCAAACCTCCCATAGTTCCTCTTCCCTCTACTTCTTACCTTGTTTCATATTTTACTGAAAAAAAAATTGAGGCCATTCACCTAGAACTCCTCCCTTGCCCTTTCCCCCCCATCTTATATCACTTAGATACCTTATGATACTAACTCCTCCTTCACTCCTGTTTCACATGAAGAAGTGGATCTTCTCCTGAGTAAGACAAACCCCTCTACATGCACAAGTGATCCCATTCTATCCCATCTTCTCCAGCAGATTGCCCCCTCTATCATCCATACTCTCTCACTAATCTTCAGTCTCTCCTTGTCTACTGGCTGCTTGTCTGCTGCCTCCAAACACTCCAACATCCCCCCCCCCAAATAAAAGAAACAACCCTCACTTGATCCATTCATCTCTGCTAGCTATCATCCTGTAAGGCTCCTCCCTTTTGTCACTAACTCCTTGAGAAAGATATGATCAGTACCTCCAACTTCCTTTCCTCTCACTTTCTTAACTCTCTACAGTCTGGCTTCTGACTTCATTCAACTGAAACTGCTCTTTCAAAGTTATTAATGATCTCTTAAGTGCCAAATCTAATGGCCTTTTCTCAACCCCTCATCCTTCCTTACCTTTCTGCAGTCTTTGACTGTTTGTACCCCCTTTTCTTCTTGATACTCTCTTTTCTCTAGGTTTTCATGGCACCATTTCCTACTTCTCCTTCTACCTGTCTGACAAGTTCTTTACTCCTCTTTGTTGGATCTTCATTCAGGCTGCACTCACCAAATATGGGTTTCCTTCAAGCCTCTGTCCTCATCTCCCTCCTATACTATTTCTCTCAGTGATTTCACCAGCTCCCATTGATTCAATCATCATCTCTATGAAGATGATTCTCAGATCTATTTGTCCAGTCCTAACCTCTATCTTGATGTCCACTCTACAATCTCCAACTAATTATTGAATATCTCAAACTAGATGTCCCATAGACATCTTAAACTCAACAGGTCTAAAATTGAACTAATTATCTTTTCCCCCAAACTCTCTTCCTATCTTCCCTCTTACTATAGATGGTCCCTCTACCCTCCCAGTCATCTACGCTCACAACCTAAGTATAATTTTCAACTCTTCACTCTCTCTTACCCCTCCCTTATCCAAACTGCTATCAAATCCTGTTATTTCTACCTTCATAACCTCTCATATCTATGTATCTATATCTATATATCTCCTTTTCTCCTCTGACATTGCCACAATCCTAGGGCAGATCTCCATCACTTTATGCCTGGTATAATTGCCTTATGATTGGTCTTCCTTCCTCAGGTCTCTTCTCTCTACAATCCATCATCTACTTAGATGTCAAATTGATCTTCATTATGTGCAGGTCTCAACTATGTCACTTCCCTTCCCATTCAATAAACTCAAGTAGTTCCCTATTACTTCCAGGATCAAGTATAAAACCCTCTTGTTTGGCTTTTAAAGCCTTTCATAACCTGACCTGTTCTACTTTTCCAGTCTTTTTATACCTTATTCCCTCACCATCCCTCACCCCCCCCACCATATTCTGTGATCTCATGACACTGCTTTCCTTGCTGTTCCTTGAATAAGAAATTCTCCTGACTCCATGCATTTTATTGGCTGTCTCCCACGGGCGGAATACTCTCTTGCTTCATCTTTACCTCCCAGTTTTTCTAGCTTCCTTCAAGACTCCGCTATAGTCCCATTTTCTGTAAGAAGTTTTCCCTAGTCCTCCTTAATCTCAATGTTTTCCCAATGAGATTAACTCCAATTTATTCTCTCTCTATATCCTGTTTGTACATCATGCTTTCACCCTTTACTGTGAACTCCTTGAGAGCAAGGTCTGTTTTCTGCCTTTTTTTTTAATCCCTAGAGTTTAGTGTCTTGCTTGGCACATAGTAGGTGCTTATTAAATACTTATTGACTGACTGACCTCTATGAGCCTCAGTTTCATCATCTATTAAATGAGGGGGTTGGACTTGATGACCTTTACAATTTCTTCCAGCTCTAAATCTATAGACCCATGAAGGATAAAAACAAAACAGTCCCTGTCCTCAATGTGATTATATTCTATTGGGTGTAAACAGCAGTCAATATTACAGATCATCAAAAATCAAAGTAAGCAACAGAATACTTTCTACAAGAAGTGCACTAGCAACTGTGGGCATCAGACTAGGCCTCCTTGGAAAAATAGCATCTGAGTTGAGTTTTGAAGGAAGACATGGATTCCTTAAGGTGGAGATGAAGAGGGACTACATTACAGGTATGGAGGTCAGCAAAGGCACAGGGATGAGAGATGGAATGTCATACATAGGAAACAGCAAGTAGGTCAGTTTACCTGGAATGTAGAATATTTGAAAGAGTAATATGCAATAAACCTGGAGAGATAGGATGGAGTCTGATAGTGAGGGACTTTAAAAGGCAAATGAAGTTTGTATTTTATGTTGGAGGCAAATAGATCTGAGAATCATTTTCATCAAACAAAGGAATGACAGAGTCAGAAGTAGGCTTTTGGAATATCAGTTTGGCAGTTCTGTGGAATATAGGTTAGAGAGAGATGAACCCAGATGGAGGAAGTATGATTAGGAAGCTGTTGCAATAATCCAGATGAAAGGTGATAAGAGCCTAAACCAGTCACCAGGCTGAAAAGGGGTTGGGGGGATTCCCAAGCCCAGGTCTGATCATGCATTGCCCCACCTGGGAAGTTCCACAGTCTCCTTCTTGACTGGCATAAATTATAAACTTCTCCATTTGACTTTTTCAGTCCTTCATGAAGGAGAGGGACAGTTAAGGATGACTCTAAGGTTGAGAACCAAGGTTATTGGGAGAGTTGTGTTACACTCAATACAAATAAGGAATAAAAGCAGAGGAGAGGATTTAGAAGGAAAGATAGGTTTGGTTTGGGGCTTGTTGAGTTTGACATGTCTGTGAGACTTCTATGAGACACGTGGAGCTATCATGTAGGCAGCTGGTGAAGTGGGATTATGGTTAAGGAGAGAGACTAGGGCTGGATGTATATATCTGTTAGCTTTCTGCATAGGGATGATAGTTGAACCTATGGGGGCTGATGAAATCACCAAGACTGTAGAGAGAGAAAAAAGGATACAGACCTATGCTACTCCTAGGCATAGGTGAGGTGGGACATGGGTGATGATCTAGCAAAGAAGATTGAGAAAGAGCAGTCAGACAGGAGCCAGAATGAAGAGGGAAGAGTGTCAGAAAAACCCATGGAGGAGAAAGTATTCAGAAAGAGAGAGTGGTCAGCAGTGTCAAATGTTGACAAACAATCAAAAACAAAAAAAGGACAAAGACTGACAAAAGGCTACCAGAACTCTTGAATTCCTTTCTCTTTTATCAGTTCCTAATTCATCCACTCTTTCCAGAACCCCAGGGTAGAATAATTGCCACCACTCATGGGACCTGGCCTCTCTGGGTACTCTGTTCCTTCTAGTGTCCAGACCCAGGATGGTTCTATTTTCTTTGTTCTGCTCATATTTCAGCTCAGAGTCAGAATTTTTCCAAAGGGACTTTTTACTAGGAAACTGAGATATTCCCAAAGTTTTGATGGTGAATTGGACATTTATTAGCATCAGGGTTTGTTTGTTTGTTTGTTTTTTAAGCCAAAATGGGCAAAAAAAGGAGGATCAAGAAAGGCATATTCTTGGACTGTATAGAGGGAGGAAGAAGAGAACAAGTATTTATTAGGCACCTAGTATATGTCAGACACTGTGCTAAATGTTTCATCAATATGATCTCACTTCATCCTCACAACAAGCATAGGAGGTAGGTGATTTTATGTCCTTCATTTTACAGTCGAAGAAACTGAGGAAGACAGAGGTTAAGTGATTGCCCAAGGTCATACAATTGGTAAATGTCTAAGGGCAGATTTGAACTCAGGTCTTTCTGACTCGAGGACCAGTGCTTTATCCACTGCATCACCTAGCTGTACAGGACAATGATGGCATCAGACAGAAGACAGAGCTTCCCAATTCTTATCTTGCTTCTATTTTCTCTGCCAAGGAGAATGAGCCTTGTATTGGTGATGACAAGTCAAAAATGTCCAGGATAAGTAAGGAAATAGTAAGAAAGCTTCCCATGTTGAACTAAGATCACCTGGCCCAAAGGAACTGCATGCTCAAGTACTGAAAGAAATGGCTGAGCCATTGTCAGTGATTTCTGAAAGATCATGGACGACAGGAGAGATGCCACCAGATTGGAGAAGGGGAAATGCCCTAATTTAAAAAAAAAAAAGAGCACAGAGTCTGAAAACTGTAAGCCGGTGAGTCTGACTTGGATTCCTTCTTCCATGGCCTCCATTCTAGAAAGGACCATTAAAGGGATAGATAGTGAACATCTGAAAAGGGAAGCAGTGATTACAAACGGCCAACATGACTTCATCAAGAACACATCATAAGAGATAAACCTCATTTGCCTTTGTTTTTTACAAGATTATTAAATAAATAGATGAAGAGAATGCAGCAGACACAGTTTACTTAGATTTTTGTAAAGCTTTTGATAAAACTTTTCATACTCTTCCTGTGGAGAGGATGGGAGATTATAGATCAGATGAGAATATGAGTAGCTAGATTTAGTATTAGTCGGATGGCTGCACTCAAAGAATGATTGTTAATGGTTCAGTGTCAGAGATCTGTGCATGATCCAGTGCTATATAACATTTTTATCAATGACTTGGATATTGACATTTATGGCCTGCTCATTAGACTTGAAGATGACCCAATGGCTAACACACTGGATAATAGAGTCAAGATCCAAAAGGATCATGACAAGCTAGAGCACTGGGTTGAATCTAATAAGATGAAATTCAATAAAATTTCGATGTAAAATCTTACACATGGGTGCAAAAAAGTCAGTTTCACAAGTACAAGATGGGGGAGTGATGGTTAGACAGCAGTTGTTCCAAAGAAGACCTGAGGGTTTAAGTAGATTGTAAGCACCATGGGATGTGGCAGCCAAAAAATTTCAGTCAGTCTTGGGCTGTACTAAGTGGGATATGGCAGACAGGAATAGGGAGGCAATGATTCTACTGTATTCCATCCTCATCAGACTTCATCTAGAGTATTGTGTTCTGTTCTGTAACACAGTTTAGGAAGGACATTGACAAATCAGAGAATGTTCAGAGAAGGTTAACTGGGATGGTGAAAGCCTTGAGTCCTTGTCATAGGAGAATCAGATAAAGGGACCAGGGGTGGAGGTGGGGGTGTTGTTTAGCTTGGAGCAGAGAAGACACATTTAAGTATTAGACAGACTATGATGTGGAGGAAGGATGAGATGGCCAAAATAGGAGCAATGAGTGGAAACTGAAAAGAGAAAGATTTCATTTTGATGTCAGGAAAATCTTCCTGAGTAGAACAATCTACTTCAGGAAGTGGTGGGTTGCCCCTCCTTGGAGGTCTTCAAGCAGAAGCTGGATAACCACATGCTAGGGAATTCATTTAGTTATGGGCTTAGAGAGACTATACAGCCACTAAGATCCTTTCCAAATTGCAAATTCTGTGACGCTGTGAGGCCCCTCGATCCTTGATGAAAGGATAGTGGGAAACTTTTGGCTGATTCAGCTGCTCTTTGTCGGGCTGTAGTACCTGTGGGGCAGAAGAGGCCTTCGCAGCCCTTTGGGAAGCACTCTTCTTTCCTGTGTTCTCTCCAGTTTGGACTCTGTCTCCTTACACTCCTCCTCCCCTACCACCCCTAGCCGTGATCTCTGAGAGGTGTGTCCCTCCCAGGGTTGCACCACATTGCTTGAGTGATGCCTGGCACACACTTCGGCACCTGGGCTGCCCACCAGTTCCTGAGAAGCAACTGATCAGGTCTTGCAAAATATGTTTGTTACCAGAGGAACTGAAACACTTCCTTCAAGAAGTCTGATCAACACTGCCTTGGGAACCTCCAGTAGTACTAGTAGTACTACTACTAACAATAACACACACACACACACACACACACACACACACACACATTATAAACATTAAAATCCCTATTTTCAAGATTAAGAAACTGAGATTCAGAGGTTTTAAGGGACTTACTCAAAGTCATTCAATCAGCAAGTTACTGGAGCCAGGATTCCTGAAACCAAGTCCAGTGCCATTTCTACTAAGTTCCACTGCTTCTGTATTTCCTCCGGCTGAGACTGCTTTCATAATCCGAGGTCTAAAGGCCTGAACCTAAAATCCTAAATCCCCTACCCAACCCTATCCCCATCCAGATTCAGGTTGATGCTTTCCAGAAAAGAAATGTATCTTATTATCTATTGGGTAGCTACTACTCTCCAACTATTCTTGGGGTATGTTGACATTGATTTCCCTGGTGACATAGAAGTCCTACCTCTGGGAACTTTGGTATCACGGGAATTTACCCAACTTGCTGGGTAGAACAATACATTCATTCATCCCTTCATCTACCCCTGCTATTCCCTTGTCAATCCACTTAGGAATCCTTGCTCTTTCTTTTTCTTCAATAGGTACACGTGACCCTTCCCTTTGATCCTTCCTCATGGCTCTTTGCCTACCTGTTCATTGGCCCGATTCCAAAATACTCCTAGGATGAAGACAGCTGTGACTGGAGGTGCCAGAGAACTGGTGACCACCTGCATGTAAATGAAGAGCTGGCCACTTTTGGAGCCTTGGAGGACTGGGATCCAGACAACACTAATGATGACGAGGACCACAATAACCAGCCTGTGGGAGAAATGCCACTGTTACCCATCAGTGAATGTGCTACCCCCATTATTGGGGTCTATTTTTTCTCTCAAGCCTCTGTACTAGCGCTTGAGGCAGAGAAAGCTAGAATACTCTGCTCTCCAACGACTCCACATCCCCTTTTTCTTTAGCTACTGCTCTGGGCCTTGGAGGAAATGGAGACTGGAGGAAAGGAATTTAGGAGGGCTTAGAGTAAGGAGGACATTCTAAGTTGGTCTGCAGAGGAAAACTTGGTATATCACACACTCCTTATTCCCTATGCTTCCCTTAACTATTCCATTCCCATTTAAGATTGTACCATGTGTGTCTCTCCAATGTTTCCTAAGCTAGGGCTGAGGGCACAACAGGTGTGATGAATTGATTGACTGGCTAACTGGATCCTGGCTACCAGGGCTAGGCTAGAAATAAAGACCAACCAGGGACGTGTTTAGGAATTTTTCCATCTGAGGCAAAAACATTTGGGAGGGCAGGTGGGGAACAGTGCTGGTACATATGATGACAGTCCAATGCATGCCATTCTATAGTAGCTGTCATCTTTTCCCCTAGTCATTTGCTGGTCTGAGAGCCTAATCCTGTACTCTCCCAAAGAGACATCTCTTTCCATCCTCAAGCCCCATAGACCCACTGGCCTGAAGAAGACCTTGAGTCACAGGGCTCTGGAATAACAAATCCTAGGGGAGAATCAGACCACTCCTCTATCCAAGAGGAATTGCAGCTGCCAGTGCCCATGTCAGCATCTTTGGGCAAAGTCCCAGCAACTCTGCCCTAGTTATATTTCCGTTCAGAGAATCGTGGAATATTAGAACTGGAAGGGACCTTAGAAGTCATCCCATTCAACCCTCTCATTTTACACATGACAAAAAACTGTGGTCTAAGGTCACACAGCAATTTAATGACAGGACTGGGACCAAAAATCCATGACTTCTGACTCTCAGTCCAGTGATTTGTTCCTAATAGTACACAGGTATGAGGGATACGGGAAGTGGGAGGTGGGGCCCTGAAATCCCAAAACAGAAGCCACAAGGAAGAGTCCCAAGCACCTTTGTAGCAGTAAAGATGGGGAGTGGGTAGGGCACAGGAGCCCTAAACCTCCATGTCTCCGATATGGAGCAACCAACTCTGCCCTTTCTAGTCCTTGGGTGGAGAAGAAAAGAGAGGAAAAGGGAAGGAATGAAGGTGACATACTAATTAATACTAATTAACACTTAGATATGACACTTCTCATCTTCAAAGTCTTTTCCAGGCCTTCATTAACCAGTGTTCTCTCCCCATAAACCATAATTTCCCATGTCTGTTGGATGTCTCCTCTTGGATATCTTATTAAAAACTCATCATGGCCCAAAGCAAACTTCTTATCTCTTCTCCTGACTTCACCATCTCTGTGAATGGCATCAAGATCTTCCTGTTATCCAGGCTCAAAACTTCTTCCTCACTCCCACATTTGGTTACCAAGTCCTTGCAATTCTTCCATGGTGATATCTTCCAAACCTCTGTCTTCTTCTCTCCCAACAGGCCATCCTAAGCTCATACGTTTAGCCCTGATCATCTAATACTTAGATTATTGCAGCCACTGAACACTGGTCTCTTTGCCTTCAGTGGTAAAGAGTCATGGCAATGACAGTTCTGTTATCCCTTCTGATTCAGCAGTCCCCTCAATTCCCATAGGTCAGAGAACATGGGGTTAGGGCATGAACCATCGATTGTACTCTTTCCTTTTCCTTCACCATTATGATATACACTCAAATAATTGGGAAAAAAATTTTATAGACAGTTTCTTAGATAAAGGTCTTACATCTCATATATAGAGAACTTGGTCAAATTTACAAGAATATGAGTCATTCCCCAATTGACAAATGGTCAAAGGATATAAACAGGCAGTTTTTCAATGAAGAAATAAAAACTAGGGCAGCTAGATGACTCAGTGGATAGAGCACTTGCCCTGAAGTCAGGAGGACCTGAGCTCAAATCTGAACTCAGACACATGATACTCACCAGCTGTGTGACCCTGGGCAAGTCACTTAACCCCGATTGCCTCACCAAAAAAAAAAGAAGAAATAAAAACTATATATAATCATATAAAAATGCTCTAATTGTTACTGACTAGAGAATTGCAAATTACAACAGCTTTGAGATATCATCTCATACCAATCAGATTGGCTAAAATGATAGAAGGGGAAAATGACAAATGTCAGAGGGGATGTAGAAAAATTAAGACATTAATACACTATTGATGGAACTGTGAACTGATCCAACCATTTTGGAGAGCAATCTGGAATTATGCCCAAAGAGTTGTAAAACTGTATATACCCTTTGACCCAGCAATACCACTATTAGATGTATTTCTGAAGGTAATCAGGGAAAAAGGAAAAGAACCTATATATTCTAAAATACAGCAGCTCCCTTTGTGATGGCAAAGAACTGGAAATTGAGGGGATGCCTGTCAACTGGGGCATGGTTGAACAAGTTGTGGCATATGGTTGTGATGGAACACTGCTTGTACTGTAAGAAATGATAAGCAGGTTGATTTTTGGAAAACGGAAAACTGGAAAGATTTGCATGAAATAATAAAAAGTAAAATGAGCAGAACCAAGAGAATGTTGTATACAGTAACAGCAGCATTATTCAAAGAATAATTGAGAACAATCAAGTTATTCTGAGTATTATAAATAGTCAAATCAACTACAAAGGACTTATGAAGGAAAATGCTATCTACCTCTAGAAAAAAAACTGATAAATAGAAGTATGCATAGCATGGTTTTACATATATTTATAAATTGGTGTCAAATGGTGGCCTTCTATGGTGTGGGGTGGGAGGGAGAGAATTCTAAACCTAAAATGTAACAAAAAAATTAAATTTAAAAAACAAATATGCACTCAGAACTGCCTTAGCCTAGTTTCTACACTGACCTACCTCCTTTATACTACCTTATCCACTAGTTTTGGAGTATTCTCTGAGCTGGAATTGTCTTGGGGATTTGTATTTGAATCCTGCTTCAGACACTTTGAAGCTGTTTCCTCATCTGTAAAATGGCAGGGGGGAGGGGGGAGGGGGGAGGAAGAATAATATTTGCACTACTTACCTTAAGGGATTATTATGAGGAAGGAACTTTATAAGGCTTAAATCACTACACAAATGTGAGCTATTGCAATCGGTCTGATATCTCCTCCCTTAAAAAAAAACTAACAAAAAGGAATCCCTTCTATCTTCCCAGGCCAGTCACTAATAACCACAATGACTCTCACCTATATTAGCACTTTCAGGTTTGCAAAGTGCGTCATATATATGATCTAATCTGATGTTCACAACCCTGTGATGTAGGTGTTCATATTACACTTGTTTTACAGATGAGGAAAAGGGCTGAAAAGGTTACCTGACTTGCTCAGGGTTATACTAGGCAGGCAGGGAATGAAGGTAGTTGTTGCCTCTCACAGAGCCCAGAGACACAGCATCATAGATTTAGGGGTAGACAGACTGTATAGGTTTTTTCAGAGAAGGAAATTGGGACCCAGAGATTAAATGACTTGTCCAAAGTCATTTAGCTAGTAAATGCCAGAGATGAGATTTGAACTCAGTTTCTTTGACTACAAATCTAGCACTCCTCTTTCCACTACACTATGGCAGAAGAACAGAAGAGAAGGTTCACACCCCAGAACAGGCTAATAGCTCTTCCAGCCCCAGGCTTTCAGGATTCCTTTTCTAGGATCCCAAAGCAAGGTTGTACGGAGACAGCTCATGCCCAATAGCTCACGTACAGGAGAGCTGATTGTTAAAATTTCAGTGTGACCAACTACATTTCAGAGATCAGCAAATGATAGAAATCAATGCTACAATTTAAGACTTAAGAGAGGGATGGGAAAATGTTAATAACACAGATGGAACTTCTTGGGGAGCTGGTTGTAAAACACTGGTCCCAAGAGACAGGGTGGAGAAGGTCATGCTTGTCCTCTCTGATGTCAGCCTCAAAAATGCAAGGCTGCCCTCCCCAAAGAGGCTTCCCTCAACACATCATCCTCCATCCATCAAGGACGGGCCACTTAGGAATTTCTCTGGACCTTGACTGAAGCCTTAAAAATGATGATGATAGTAATAATCCCTCACATTTATATGACACTTTGCTTAGGCAAAGACTCACATCTCAACTGGTCCTCACAACAAACCTGTAATCAACATTTGGCAGGTAAAACCACTGAGTTTCAGAGAAGGGAAGGCTCAGAGGAAGCTCAGAGAACTTGCCCAGTGTTGCTTGGCAAGTTAATGATAGCCAGGACCAGAACAAAGATTTCTTGCCTCCAGAAGTGTGCCAGTAAATGTTTAACAATCTGCTTTCTGAAAAGCATGAGCCACTTTTAAGTTTAATATGAATTTTTTTTAACATTCTCCCCATCACTTTCCTATGTCTAGACAATCAACAAACTAATTAATCAGTCCTTGATTTGTAGCATTTGCAAATTTCTATGGTATAAATGCTACCACTGAAAATTTAACAACCAGATCTCATGAGCCAGCATGAGCTGACTCCAGGACACCTGTGGGTTTACATGGAATAATGAACATGGTGGCCTACTTTCTCTCCCTATCCCGTGACAATCATCATTGTCTTATACTCTGGATTCCGTCCTGTTTCAGAGACTCATTCATACTCCTCACTGTGTAGAAAGGGAACAGGACTGCAGACTTTAGATCCAGCAAAACATAAGCTCTTTGGAGGCAGGCAGTTCTTTCTAGGCTTCTAGGTGATGCAGTGGATAGGCCCTAGGCCTGGAGTCAAGGGTACTCGAATTCAAATTAGGCTTCTGATAGTTACTAACTGGGTGAATCTGGCCAGTCACTTAACCGCCATCTGCCTCAGTTTCCTCATCTGTAAATTGAGAATAATAATAGCATCTACCTCCCAGCATTGTTATGAGGACAAATAACAACAACAATAATGAGAACTGAATGAGATGACATTTGTAGGATACTTTGCTAACCTTAAAGT